GGGAGGGGGTGGAGAAGGGGGGTGTTACCCGATCAAATAGCCCTGCCGGGCGTCCTGCCGCCGGTTCCTCATCAGCGCCTTGTACTCGCCCACCCGCAGCCTCTTCCCCTCCACGATGCAGGTGCGTTTGGGCCGGGGCTTGTACTTGTAGTCAGGGTATTTCTCCAGGTGCTGCCGGCTCAGCCGGGCTTGCTCCTCATAGTAGGGTTGTTTCTCCTGGTTTGTCATGGATTTCCACCTGGAGCCTGAGCACAGAGGAGCCGCCAGGCACGCTTAGACCCCACCCGCCGTGGGGAAGCTGGTCAAGCCCCCCAGCAGCTCCTGGCTAGTTCAAGGAGTATCTGGGGGATGCTCTTAGTCAGAGGATTTAGTTTTAGGTGCTCCTTGTGAGGAGCAGAGAGTTGGACTTGATGATCCTTACAGGTCCCTTCCAACTTGAGATATTCTTTGATTCTACAGCCACCACAAGAGCTAATTCATGCTCACTCAGGGCTCTTCAGACAGGCTTGTGGGTGATGGCACCACAGGATTGTAACAGTGACATGGCCACAGGGAAGGAGCAGTGTGACCAAGAGCCGCAGCAGGGCTGTCAGGGGAGGTGACATGTTGGCTTGGTGAGGACCACACTCCTACAGGCACCTCCAAGAGTGATGCTGCAACGGGGGCAGCACTATCATGGACATCACCTGTAAGTGGGTGGCTGAGGGACAAGCAGAGTGAGCAGCTGGATGGAGCTTGAGTCCCCCACGGGGGATGTAGAAGGGGTTCCTGCCCCAGCCCCCCCCAAACACATCCCCAGCACTCACCCAGGATCTTGCTGATGCTGGAGTTGTGCATGTCTGGGAAGGCCTGCAAGATCTTCCTCCTCTCGTCCTTCGCCCACACCATGAAGGCGTTCATGGGCCTCTTGATGTGGTTGTTGTTCCTGGACTCAGGGAAGTGCCGTGAGCCTGTGGGGACACCCCAGTGTGGGTCAGGAGCCCAGGAAGGAGCAGGCAGGGCTCACACCACGGGGCTCTCAGCTGTCCTTACCATCCATCTCACAGGTCAAGAGGGCCTCATCCAGCCGGTGGGCGGGGGTCTCCTCCATCCGCTCCTTCACTGGAGAAGAGTCGATCCCCACGTGGTCCTGCAGAATAGCAGAGGGTCAGGAACCAGCTCCAGGCCAGGGAGCCTGCCCACAGGATGCAGACCCAGCCGTGGAGGGGTGGGAGGTGGGCTCACCTTGCGGTAGGGGTTGCTCAGTGACCCCTCCATGGCCCCGCTGTGGCCGTGCAGCAGCTGCCGCGCGTCCTGGATGGCTTTGGTGATGGCATCACCTTCTCCCAGGAACCCTGGCAGGACACCAGCGTGGGCACCCATCAGCACCAGCTCCTCTGACACCCCACAGCACCCCACCCCACTCCAACCATCGCAACTGCATGTCCTGAGGGGGTGGCACAGAGCACCAGGTGTCCACCCAGGACACACCAGGGAGGAGGGACCCCAGGGAGATGTCCCCAGTCTCTGGGAAGTGGCCAGAGGAAGGCATGGACTATTTATCAGTAAAGGCACTTGGAAACCCACCCAGAGGCAGGTTGGACGGGCTGGTCTGCAGGTCCCTGGTGGCCCCATGACTTGGTGTGAGGGACTGGCAGCCGCTCATCTTCAAACTGGGCGAGCTGGAGGCACTGGGGAGGTCAGAACCTTTGGG